TATTAAATCACTTTGTAAGTAAGAACTTTTTATTTAACTATTTATTCGTTTTTGGTGGCGCCCTCTAACGTGTGCATATGTAGGAAGAAAGGGGGACGAGATGGCTGCTTCTACATACTCCTCTCTCTCAACCAGGAGCATGTGACACACTGAGATCTGCACATCATTTGCTCTGTGGGCCTCTGTGACCTGTAGTCACCCATAACACCTTTCTCTGCAGGGATGTTTGCATGTATATTTGGAGAAACATAATTTGTCAACATTCTGACATTCACCAGCGGCCGAGTCAACTTCCATCTTTTCTTTTTCTTTTTCCCCTCAAACAGTTTCACACATCTGTAACATCACAACACACAAATACACTGCCTACCTTTGGGGGATACACTGCGTAACTTCTTGCTTTCAGAGGGACACTCGCTGCTGCTGTTGGGAGAGAAGCTTCTCCTCTTGCCTAGAAGGTCATCTGTAAACACACACGGAAACCAATCAGAAACAAAAACCAGAGTAAAGACTCGATATTGCCGCTCTCCTGTGTCTCTACCTGTGTGCATGGTGGCTGCTTTGGAAATGGTAGAAGAAAGAGAGACGTGCGAGTGAAAAAATAACCAAAGAGGAGGAGAGAAAGATGAAAAACAGAAGAGTGAAACAAGGCACGGGCGTCTGGAGAGGTGCATATTCTGTCTGTCAGAGAAAAGAGAGGCCCTGCACTGCCGTGGATGACGGATCTGCCCCCCCTTAGTCACGTGTTTGTTTGTCTATCTAAAGCAGGGAGGGGGACTCGGTCTCTCTGTGCCATAATCTCTTTCCAACAGTCTGTCCTCAAGTGTTATCACCATCCTTCCTCTCTCTTTCTTCCTTTTTTCCAGATGTTGAAGCAAAAACCTCGGACTGAACTAAAGTGCACGAGATCCTCTCAGAAATACCGCTCAGCTGACGTCATGTCTGCCTCACGTGTTTTTATTTTAATTTTTGTACCTCTACAACAACTTTTGGTGACCTCCCATAAACCCTCACGTCTCTTCATTTCTCCGTCCACTTCCTTCTCTCGTTAGTCTCATTTGGGTGTTTGAACCTCAGGAGCACCTCACTCTCACATTAACACCTCTCTGGCTCCTCTTCTTCCTCCCTGTTGTCCCCACCCCTGCCTCTAGAGCTGCCCCCCCCTTACCTCTCCTCCCCTCTCATCTCTCTCTTCCTTCCTTTCCCATCCCATCACCTCCCCCCCCTCCCCCGCCACCTCCCCTACAAACACACCTCAAATCAATACAGGCCTTATCAGAGAAGGAGGAGATGCAGAGCACATCGCACGCAGCGCCGGCAGGAAGGAAAGAGGCGTTTGTCATTGCGCGCTCTCTCTCTCTTTATTTCTACTTCATGCATCTCTGATTTTTCTCCAACTCTGTTTCTTCTTCCACACAGACAACCAAACCCATCGCAGAGACTTCTTCTTCCCTTCATTCCACTTTCTCTCTTTCCCATCTCAATGCATAGTTTTCAGGGTGAGGCGAGTTTCTCCCCCCCCTCCCTCAAGGAGAATGGTTCATCTCTCTCTCTCTGCTTTTTCAGCAAAGCAATTTTTCATCATTTGCACAGCAGGTGTAAACAGTGCGGAGAAACAACGAACACAGAGTAGAAATAAAACACGTCGTCATCATCATCGCAACACCCACGCAAATACAGTTAGCTCCGCCTCTTTCCTGTGTCCGGCATTAATATTGCTGGTGGTACGTGAGAGTAAAGCTGATATGGTGTCTGAGCTCTGACCTTTAACCTATTAGCCAAACTTGTGCCTGTTCATGTCTGCAAGGGGAAACAGGAGGGGAAAAACCGGATTTAGACAGGACTCTGAGGATTTTGCTGTGCTGCAAAAGGAGTGCCGGTGTTGATGAGAGGGCGAGCGAGCAAGCGGGAAAGGATGAGAGGGAGGAGGTTCACTAATGATCCGGTGTTTGATGTTACCTCTCAGGTCCTGAGGAGATCCACTCCCTATACCATCCAAAAGAAACAGCGAGAGGGGGCGGGGGGCACAGGGAGTAACGCTAATGGACAAGTGCATGCATACACACAAACTGGATGCTTTTTACCATTTCTACTTTTTCCTCCAATCTCTTTTATGATCTCTCTTTCTGTTTTTCTTTCTCGTTTTCAAATCTCGCTTTGGTACTTTTCTTTCACTGGTCCTTTCAGGTGAAAAAAAACGAAGGTCTCCATCTATCCTATTAGTGAAATATTAACAAAGAGAGAGAGAACCCCCATTAGTTAAAGCCCCTCTTCTACCAAACACACACGCGCTTAGACCCACACCCAGAGCCTCTCATGATCAAACACACTTGAGTCGTCTCTTGAGCCGACCTCACTCAAGACACTGCGTCTCCTGAGCGAGTGCCCGAGGGCCCGAGATTTGAGGGCGGAAAGCTTTTAAAGCCAATTAAATGGGGCTTCTTAGAGCACCGGCGCTCCCTTTTAATGCCAAACCCTGAGCTCTGCTAGCATCTATACTAACCCTTTTACTCCCACTAACACAGCTTACAGTCAAGTTTGCTACCTTAGGCCTTTCCCTATCACCTGCTTGTTAATATTGCTAAGGAATTAGCGGTCGTGGAGTCAAGAGTTTTAGTCCGCCTCCAAGGCTGCTATTTTAACTGTCAAAATACAGCAATTATTAAGTGCAGACAGCGTTTGCTTCTAATGATATAACCCCATGTTTTAGCTTTTCTTGGTCAACAGACAATCTGCAGTCTTGCCTTTTTTTCAGACGTGTATGTGAACACACCATGTTCCAGCCTCTTCCTCAGTTCCTCCTTGCTAGTTAACCTCCTCCTTATCTGCTGTTCCTCCCACTGAGAGAAAAGATAGATGAGAGCTGAGGGATAGAAAGAGAAAGAGGAAACAGCAGGACCTAAACGACTTCTCTTTCATGTGACACCAGCAGGGCGAATCATCAGCCAGGAGAACGTTCCCCTTCCTCTCCTACTCTTTTTTTTTTTTTTACCCCTCTTCTTCCTCAAACTTTAGCCCTCCTCCTCTCTTCTCTCCATCCTGTGGAGCGCGTTGACAGCTCAGACAGCCAGACTCCTTAATTCCTCTCTTACTCCGTTAATCTGTCATCTTTATCAGGCCGAGGAAGGGGAGGGGGAGGCGGCTGAGTGGAGGGAGCAGCTTGGGGGGGGTGGGGTGACAGGCGGGGACGTGGGGTGGGCCGCCAGCCGCAGCCCCCCGATCAATCTCCACATTACAGCTGACAGAATGGTGCTAATAACTTATTGATCCCTCCTCCGTGCGCCGGGGCCTCCGCCGGCCCTGAAAGCCCTGGCATTGATTGGCTTACGGGCCGATGCAGCTGGGAAAGGGCGGTGTGGTGGTGGTGGGGGTGT